CGCCAGGACTCCTCGCCCTGGACCCCGCCAGCAATCTTTAAATTAGGGTTTATAGGAATTGTATAGGGTTCGGGGGTCGGAAAAAACCCCGACTAAAGCGGTTGCGAGAGCAGCCCCTCCGAAAAGGTTGAGAGAGCTGCTCTTGCAACCTTTTTAAAAGGGGTTTTAGAACTTGCCTTAATAGAAATTGTATAGGGTTCAGGTCCCAATAAGTTTTGACCGAAAGTTTTGACCGAAAGTTTTGACCGAAAGTTTTGTTTTTTGAAACTATGTTTTTAGTTTTGGAAGGGGTTCGCCAAGAAAATACAAATCGACACCACCGTTTCCGGGGGGCGCTGCCCCCCGAGCCCCCCGCCAGGACTCCTCGCCCTGGACCCCGCCAGCAATCTTTAAATTAGGGTTTATAGGAATTGTATAGGGTTCGGGGGTCGGAAAAAACCCCGACTAAAACGGTTGCGAGAGCAGCCCGGGTTCAGGTCCCAATAAGTTTTGACCGAAAGTTTTGACCGAAAGTTTTGACCGAAAGTTTTGTTTTTTTGAAACTATGTTTTTAGTTTTGGAAGGGGGTCGCCAAGAAAATACAAATCGACACCACCGTTTCCGGAGCCCCCCGCCAGGACTCCTCGCCCTGGACCCCGCCAGCAATCTTTAAATTAGGGTTTAGAGGAATTGTATAGGGTTCGGGGGTCGGAAAAAACCCCGACTAAAACGGTTGCGAGAGCAGCCCCTCCGAAAAGGTTGAGAGAGCTGCTCTTGCAACCTTTTTAAAAGGGGTTTTAGAACTTGCCTTAATAGAAATTGTATAGGGTTCAGGTCCCAATAAGTTTTGACCTTAAGTTTTGACCGAAAGTTTTGACCGAAAGTTTTGTTTTTTGAAACTATGTTTTTAGTTTTGGAAGGGGGTCGCCAAGAAAATACAAATCGACACCACCGTTTCCGGGGGGCGCTGCCCCCCGAGCCCCCCGCCAGGACTCCTCGCCCTGGACCCCGCCAGCAATCTTTAAATTAGGGTTTATAGGAATTGTATAGGGTTCGGGGGTCGGAAAAAACCCCGACTAAAACGGTTGCGAGAGCAGCCCCTCCGAAAAGGTTGAGAGAGCTGCTCTTGCAACCTTTTTAAAAGGGGTTTTAGAACTTGCCTTAATAGAAATTGTATAGGGTTCAGGTCCCAATAAGTTTTGACCGAAAGTTTTGACCGAAAGTTTTGACCGAAAGTTTTGTTTTTTGAAACTATGTTTTTAGTTTTGGAAGGGGGTCGCCAAGAAAATACAAATCGACACCACCGTTTCCGGGGGGCGCTGCCCCCCGAGCCCCCCGCCAGGACTCCTCGCCCTGGACCCCGCCAGCAATCTTTAAATTAGGGTTTATAGGAATTGTATAGGGTTCGGGGGTCGGAAAAAACCCCGACTAAAACGGTTGCGAGAGCAGCCCCTCCGAAAAGGTTGAGAGAGCTGCTCTTGCAACCTTTTTAAAAGGGGTTTTAGAACTTGCCTTAATAGAAATTGTATAGGGTTCAGGTCCCAATAAGTTTTGACCGAAAGTTTTGACCGAAAAGTTTTGACCGAAAGTTTTGTTTTTTGAAACTATGTTTTTAGTTTTGGAAGGGGGTCGCCAAGAAAATACAAATCGACACCACCGTTTCCGGGGGGCGCTGCCCCCCGAGCCCCCCGCCAGGACTCCTCGCCCTGGACCCCGCCAGCAATCTTTAAATTAGGGTTTATAGGAATTGTATAGGCCTCCGAAAAGGTTGAGAGAGCTGCTCTTGCAACCTTTTTAAAAGGGGTTTTAGAACTTGCCTTAATAGAAATTGTATAGGGTTCAGGTCCCAATAAGTTTTGACCGAAAGTTTTGACCGAAAGTTTTGACCGAAAGTTTTGTTTTTTGAAACTATGTTTTTAGTTTTGGAAGGGGGTCGCCAAGAAAATACAAATCGACACCACCGTTTCCGGGGGGCTGCCCCCCGAGCCCCCCGCCAGGACTCCTCGCCCTGGACCCCGCCAGCAATCTTTAAATTAGGGTTTATAGGAATTGTATAGGGTTCGGGGGTCGGAAAAAACCCCGACTAAAGCGGTTGCGAGAGCAGCCCCTCCGAAAAGGTTGAGAGAGCTGCTCTTGCAACCTTTTTAAAAGGGGTTTTAGAACTTGCCTTAATAGAAATTGTATAGGGTTCAGGTCCCAATAAGTTTTGACCGAAAGTTTTGACCGAAAGTTTTGACCGAAAGTTTTGTTTTTTGAAACTATGTTTTTAGTTTTGGAAGGGGGTCGCCAAGAAAATACAAATCGACACCACCGTTTCCGGGGGGCGCTGCCCCCCGAGCCCCCCGCCAGGACTCCTCGCCCTGGACCCCGCCAGCAATCTTTAAATTAGGGTTTATAGGAATTGTATAGGGTTCGGGGGTCGGAAAAAACCCCGACTAAAACGGTTGCGAGAGCAGCCCCTCCGAAAAGGTTGAGATAGCTGCTCTTGCAACCTTTTTAAAAGGGGTTTTAGAACTTGCCTTAATAGAAATTGTATAGGGTTTTTCAAGGTCCCAAGAATTTTTGACGCGAAAGTTTTGCCGAAGTTTTGACCGACAGTTTTGACCGAAAGTTTTGACCGAAAGTTTTGTTTTTTGGAACTATGTTTTAGTTTTGGAAGGGGGTCACCAAGAAAATACAAATCGACGCCACCGTTTCCGGGGGGGGCTGCCCCCCCAGCCCCCCCCCCGGACTCCTCGCCCTGGACCCCCGCCCATCACAATCTTTAAATTAGGGTTTATAGGAATTGTATAGGGTTCGGGGGTCGGAAAAAACCCCGACTAAAACGGTTGCGAGAGCAGCCCCTCCGAAAAGGTTGAGAGAGCTGCTCTTGCAACCTTTTTAAAAGGGGTTTTAGAACTTGCCTTCATAGAAATTGTATAGGGTTCAGGTCCCAATAAGTTTTGACCGAAAGTTTTGACCGAAAGTTTTGACCGAAAGTTTTGTTTTTTGAAACTATGTTTTTAGTTTTGGAAGGGGGTCGCCAAGAAAATACAAATCGACACCACCGTTTCCGGGGGGCGCTGCCCCCCGAGCCCCCCGCCAGGACTCCTCGCCCTGGACCCCGCCAGCAATCTTTAAATTAGGGTTTATAGGAATTGTATAGGGTTCGGGGGTCGGAAAAAACCCCGACTAAAACGGTTGCGAGAGCAGCCCCTCCGAAAAGGTTGAGAGAGCTGCTCTTGCAACCTTTTTAAAAGGGGTTTTAGAACTTGCCTTAATAGAAATTGTATAGGGCGACATCCGAAAACGCGAAGCAGAACTCCAAAGATCAACCTTGAACTCGGATGACTTAAGTTCTTGAACGGCTTTCGAATGTTCAATTTGCGTGCACGTATGCTCCTGCATTGTTGAAGCTGGGAAGTAAGGATTGAGACGACTTGGTTGATGAGTATGCAGCATGTGTAGCTTTCACATTTGCAAGATGCAACTCGAGGCCGTCGCTTTCAACAAGCTTCCAATCCGACGACACTGCCGCCCAGCACTTTGTTTCTCGCCAATTTTTGCCTCTATGTGCACGACAATACAGAGAAGTGCCTGAGATTGTCCCTCTTGGCTTTTTGGCGGGGCAGGGCACTCCTCTACATGAGCGGCCTTTTGCAGTGGCCTGTTTTGGGGGTGGACCTGTCATGACCTCGCCGTCGGAAAGAGAAAAGGGAGCGAGTGCATAATGCAATGAAGGTTAACAGCACGATTGCGTGTCGGTGAGAGAGGGAACCGGCACATGGCATGGACCTCGTCGTTTGGGTTCGAGCTCTACCTCGTGAAGCGAGGGAGCCCCGGCACACCACAGGTGCAGGTGCCTGATGCCTCTAAGCCTCTACGTATTTGTATTCTAAGCATGCTGAGCCTGCATCAATCTGCATCAGCATGTGGCATATGGCATGAACCCGAGTCGACTTGCGCCCATCGTATCGGCTGACAGGTTCCACGTACATGCTCTTTTGGGCCTTGCTGATCCCGCTTGAGGCCCTCGCCGTTTACCAAGCCACTTACGAGGCAAGTGCCGTGACATGCCATGAGAGTAGCTGCTACAAATGCTTAGCTTTCTTACTCTCTGCTACTCAGTGCTACTCTCCACAGCTGGAGCTGATGAGTTCTGTGTGGTGGTTGAGGCAGCGCTGCTGCACAGTGATGATGCCGGCTACGCCCAGTCCATCAGCATCTCAGGTGCTCAAGGGTGCTTGCGGCACTTGGGTAGCTGTATGTAGCAGTCCCTTAAGTTTTTCAGGACGCGAGCGGTTAGCAGCCCTTTCTTCTCAGGTGATGCGCTGGTGGTCGGTGCCCCTGCAGAAGGTCCAGGCGCAGCCTACGCCTACTCTCTGACCTCCTGCCGTGCTTGGCGGACAAATTGGGCCTCGGCCGGGCTTTGGCTTTGGGTTTGGCCTTTCGGAGAATAAAGATCCGGCCATAGAGCCAGGAGTGGAGGTAGTTGGCATCTGGACGCGCGGCTTGTTCCCTCAGATGCTGCTGCTTGGGCGGCAGACATGCATCACAAGAACTGTGATCCGCGCGACCGCCTTGCTCTCCTTCTCTCACCATGTCTCCTTTCTTCCCCTCTTGAGGCCATGGGCGACCGCTTCGGCAGCTCTCTCAAGCTGGCAGGTCGGGTCCGGTAGGACACGCGCAGGCTGCACCCGAGCCCCAGCTGGAGGCCCCAAAAGCAGAAAAGCAGGTGACTTCCTCATCGTGGGTGCCAGTGGCCACGATGTCAATGCGCTGGCAGACACGGGGCCAGCCAGGGATGCCTTGAGATCAATGGGTGTCAGTGCGGGTGCCGCACATGTGCCAGGTCTGCATACATCTTCACCAGAAGCTCTGGCTGGCAACAGAAGGCACCGGGAATACAGGAATACGAATAGCTCTGTTTGTGAGAACTTGCTTTGGACAGGCCAAGCTGGCGGCCAACGACACCATGGCTGGAGACCGATTCGGCGTTGCCGTGGCCATCACCGAGGCACTTCCGAGGGACCTCGCGCAAGGTTGTGGGGCAGTGTGTGGCAGTCACGAAAGCTAGCTCTGTGGAGCTGGCGGGAGTTGTCGTTTACCCATGCACTGGTATTCACCTTGTTAAGAAGCTTCCAGGGAAAAAAAGGGTTCCACACCTTAACAGGTCCGAAACCCAAGACTTAAGGTGGGGGTTGGGGGGGGGGGGGGCCCCCCCCCCCCCCCCTCACCTCACCATGAAGCATTTTCGAAGGATAAGCCCCCCCCCCCCTCCTTTAAGGTGGTTGCGTGTGGGATAAGGTAGGGGGGGGGGCCTTTGCAGAGGTCGTACTGAACAGAGCGTCCCTGTACCTAAACTTCGTTTGCGACACGGGGTTCCAGCGGGGGAAGCAAGGGGGCTGAAGGAGTTTAGGGCTTCAGATTTCGAGTTTAGGGGTCTTCGATCTTACCTGACTAACCGGTTGAGTCTCTACATGGACTCAATCGTGCTTGTTAACAGCTGCTCAAACATGCATTCGAGACTGAAGCTGCAGCTTGGAGCAGCGATACCCATTCTGCATGTGCACGCCATCAAACTCGGGGGAGCCGTGTGCTTTGGGGGAAGTAGACTCTGGTACACGCAGCGCCGCACAAGGGGCAGGATAGTGATGGTCAGTGCAGGGACATGATAGTTGCGGCTCCAAGTCCTGCCGACTCGCTGCATGCCACCCCCCTGCGGTGACTAGCTTTCGTAGCCCCTTCTCAAGTTGCGGGTTCGCAGCGATTACCTGTGCCTGTGCGAGGAGGGCCACGCGCTCGTGGGGACCTCGGGAAGGGTCTCTCATGAGTCTTGTGTTTGTGTGACATCAGCACACCGCCAAACCACCCAGAGAGCCGAGGTGGGGGCCGACTGGCATACCGGGCCTGGTGGTCCTGGCAGCGGCCTGGCTCCGAGCCATGCCGACTTGCCAACCTCCTTTGCCACATTCTTGTCTGCTTTTGCTTTGTTTTCGGAGGTACAGCATATGTCTTCCGCCGTGACGAGGGCGCAGAGAGTTGGTCCCAGGAGGCGCCTCATTCCCAGCATTAAACGTATGACCATGTATGCCCAGTATTATGCCCGTTAAAGGCTTTTTCTTCGTAGGTCATTGCGAGGCGAAAGCTCTGAGTTCTTTGTACCCTTGATCGGCTTGTGGTGGAGTATTGTGATCGTGAAGGCAGCTTTGGCTCTGGCCCTCAACGCAAAGTTTGGGGGGATCTTCCGGAGCATGTTCATGTAATTCATTTGTCTTGTTTTCGTTTTCAAGCGCTTCCTTCAAACACTTTCGGGACACCTGCTGGTTCTGGAGCAATCTTCGCTGACTGGCACAGAGCCACACAGTCGTACCTCGGACTGCCCTGCTTCGGGGCGCGCGCGTGGCTGCGCAGGGCTCAACAAACGAGGGCAGATCGTGGGCCACTCTCTCGAAAAAGCACGAATTTCGGCATTCCGAACTACTTTATCAATAAAGGGTAGGAGCGCTGAGTTGAGTTTTTCAAACTTCGCATAATCGTGAGTAGGGCTCAGCATTACAAGAGATGGGGTGCTCCGTCACATTCGTTTCCAGAAGGTCATCATGTGTAAGCGATTGTAAGCCTGTCTGCGCAATTCTCGGCATAAACATACTTCTAGCCGCCAGCCCATGTGCCCCTCAGGCAAAGCTTACGGCCAGCGACACGGTGCCCTTTGATCGATTCGGATCTGCTGTTGCCATGTCTGGCAGCTATGCCTTGGTCTGAGTTGGCAAGTTTTGCTGGATTCTGCCGGTTCTGCCTCTGATGGCAAGGCTATGGTGGGGGCATGGGAAGCAGATGCGGTTGGGGCCGCGTATATCTTTGAGAGGCACGTTGTACCCCTGCGTTGCGAACGGGAAAATGCTTCTGCAACCCTACGTGAGCTCGTGTTCTCTGAGCCCTGGCAGGTCTTTGCAGGGTTGGTTTCAAGCTGCACGCTACGAGCCAACCGGCAACTCTACAGAAGGTGACATGCCCCTCGGCGCACTTGCATGCGCGCATTCTTTGCCGGCAGCAGTGCTCTGCCCTGCACAGCACCGAGGTTTGGAAGTACGGTTGCGCTGCGCCTCTGCCACGTGTTGTTGCGCGGCGCCTGGAATGCCTTTGCGTCCGCTGCTCGCAGGTCCGGCAACACGGCAGTTGTTGGGGCACACTGGGACGACGATGAAAATGTGAACGCCATGCCCTCAATGCCTGCCCATCTTTCTGCCTGGATGATTCTTGTCCCCGTAAATATCCGCACCGACCTGACCTGTCGAGGGAGGTGCGGCCTACATCTACACACGGTCTCTTGGCGCATGTGACTCATGAGCAGATCATCATCATTATCATGATGATGATGATCATCATCATTGTCGTTATCTCATGTCTCATCTCATGATCTTCCGTTCGAGCCAGCTCCCAGGAATGCCACAGGCTGGGACCAGGGCACCAAAATCCGCGCAGATGGTACCAACAAGGCAAGGCACCCGACTCAGAACACGTGTTTTGATTCCTTCGCTTTTCCTTTCGCTTCTGAGGAAGACCGGTTCGGCATTGCCGTCGACGTCTCAGGCACGGATGTGCTTGTGATTTTGTCAGATCCACTTCCCTTACCTTGCGATGCGAGAATCGACCAAACCAAAATCCAGCAGAGAGTGGTGGCAAAATCTTCAATCTACACACTCTTCCTTTGAAAGACTTTTGCAGCAGGAAGTTACAGTATGCCGAATTCGGATATCCTGTTGCGGGGGGTCTGCCACTGGTCTGCCACTGGTCTGCCAGTGGTCTGCCCGTGTGCCAGTTTGCCAGTTTTCTAGTTTGCTAGCTGCAAAGGCCTGCACAGCAACAGCCGGCCTTCGTGAATGGCTGCCAACTAGGTGTCAAGGAAATGTCGAAACAAAGGCTCAATCAAAGCTTCTAAAGATTTCTAAAGCTTCTAAAGCCATGTTTTTCTAATGTTGGAGTCCATCAAGTTATGAAAGTGTGCCTGGACCCCACCAAAGAACCGAAGTCGCGCAGGCAACGCCATGGTCATCGGTGCCTACTTTGACAGCGACCATGCCGTCTGGAGTGGTGGGCCACCTGAACTGGCATGAGAGCTGTACAAGCTTTGGAGAGAGGCCCTGATAGCAGGAGCAGCCTACATCCTGACGCAGTTGGATGGGGTGTGGAGCTTCCAGGATCTACCGAGACAGGCGCTGTGGGTTCTGCGGCTTCGTTGCGCCGCGCGCAGGAGAAGATAACCTTGGCCAATGCCTCCGCCGGAGACTATTTCGGCCAGTCTGTGGGCATCTGGGACAGCCCCTTGTCCTTCGGAACCCAACAAGACCAGTGCAATGCAATGATGCAATGCAACTCTTTCGTTTTTCCAAGCTGTGCTGTGGCTCTTTGACATTCTTTGACTTTTCGACTTGCAGAGGCCAGCTTGGGCCTTTTGCGGTTGCGGTGGGTGCCCCGGGCGCGAACCGCAGCGTCGTCTTCGATGGAGGAGCGAAGCTCCCTTGTTTGTGCGTGTTTCAATCTAGTACCATTTTGGGCCTTGTGCTCCTGCTTCTTCAATTCCATGGGAAGAGACGAAGGAAGAGGCACCATCACACCTCTCCCTTCTCTTCTCTCCGGTGGTCTTCTTTCGCATTTCGGCATCTTTTTCGACGTGTCTTTCGGGCATCCCTCTGAGGGAGCGGAGGGAGTAGACCGGGGAGGGCGGGGCCCGTGAAAGGGAGGGAGGAGAGCAGAGAGGTCTTTCTGTCGGATCTTGCTTCTCGTCCTCTATCCTTTGTTCAGTTCCTCCCTCTCAAGATTGCAGGCCTGCCGACGACGACCACCACCACCACAAGCACGGTGAGCGTCACCAGCAGTAGCAGCAGTTCCAGCAGTTCCATCAGCACCAGTAGCAGCAGCAGCACCAGCAGCACCAGCACCAGCACCTCCGTTACGTTGTCCTCGACGACCTCCAGGCATGCTGCCGGCGATCCCCAAAAACCACATAAGACCACTCTCTGTTACCAGATTCGTCTGGTTCTGCTCAAGGTCGTTGACGGAAACCACTTCGACGACAACGCTCTCCGTGTCTTCCACAACCTCAGCGAGCCTCCGGGCCAAGATCCGGACATGAAATGAAGTCAAATCAAGTGAAGAAGAGTGGGAATTTCGGGATGCAAGAGAGGGCAAGAGAAGTGCAAGAGACAAGGGAAGGGTGACACTTCTAGACGCTGCCCCTGACGCATGTGCATCATCACAGAGTGTGCCCGCCTGTGCCCGCTGAGGTAGTACGACATCGTCGGCGACTAGCACGAGAACAAGCAGTGCCATGGCCGCCAGTGAGACGAGGGGACAACGTGCGCGCGGGCACGCGCGCGCGCACGCGCCCGCGCGCGCCAGAAGATCGCCGTCAGATCACAGCGATCGGCGCGCCTACACAGAACACCTCATTCTGTTCTTCTAGTCACCGCTGCTGAGTACCGAAGCAAGGGAGCAGAAGCAGGGGGTTCACTGCCATGCACTCACGTTGATCTTTGACATCCTTTCTAAGGCCATGCCCCAAAGTAGTGGAAATGGCTGTGAATGAAGTGCGTTCTCCTGCGGGTGGGCAACTAGAGCAGGCGTCCCCTTGAAAACATGAGAAAACATGGGGATAGAGAGAGCGGGAGAGCGTGGGAAAGCATGGGAGAGCGCGGGGGAGCGGCAGAGCACAAGAGTTTTGGGAGAGCGTGTGAATCACTTTGCTGAAGAGTGGGAACCTCAGGAACCACCTCTTCCAACACTCAGACGAGCAGCACCTCCTCATCCTTCACACGGACCACATCAACCCAGACGGCCACCAGCAGGACTGCTACCACGGCCACAACTGCCACCGCGACCGCGACCACAGCCACGGCCACAACCACGACCACAGCCACCACGTGCCTTGCTAGTAGTGCTGCGCATGTCACTTGAACTTGCCTGTGCCAGACATTCAGGAGTATCGAAGTGTGAACATTGAGCTTAGGACACGCACGGGAACACAAACAAGAAGTTCTACCACTAGCGCAACGACCACAGCTGCAGGGAGCGGAGGGGGCACGGGAGGCGGTGCTGGGGGGGGAGACATCGGTGGAGGCTCCGGAGGTGCAGCTGTCAGCACTTCGCAGGCAGATTCTGATGCCTCGACACGGGGCTCTAGCGGGAATGGCGACGGCGGCACCGAGGATGGCACCGAGGATGGCACCGAGGATGGCACCGAGGATGGCACCGGAGAGGGCGCCGGAGCTCTGAGCACTTGGAGCACTTCCGCCCCGTTCGACCCTTTCGACCCTTCTGGCCCTGGCGGTGGTGAAGGTGGTGGTGAAGGTGGGCAGTGGGGCTTCGAGGCCAGACGGTGGAGTTCGCATCTCGTGGTAGGCACAGCTTGCAATTGCTAGAAACTGGACCGTGCGATTCAGAAACTGGACGCGATTCAGGAAACTAGGATTCAGGAAGCTGGGCGATTCAGGAAGCTGTGTTCAGGAAACTGGCTTTGCGCGATTCAGGAAACCGCGACTCTGGAAACCAAGCGGTTCAAGGAGCTTCACGGACGCGATTGGGGGTTCTGCCCTAGGGGTAGGGTTGGGGGATGGGGAGGGTGGGGATGCGTTCAGGATAACGTTCAGGTCAAGGGCTCTGTCGAAATTTGCTCCGCGGTCCCGAGCTGTTTCTGCTGTTTCCTTTTTCCGCATTTTCCCCCGTTGCCCAGAAAACTGCGTTTTGAAGTTTTTAAATCACGCTATTGCCGCTATTTCCAGTTTGCGAATCCGTTTTCAGCTTCCGAATCCGCTGCTGACCATGATCTCCGAATGTCCAGGAGTGGGACTTTGATTTGAGTGGCGCCAGATCAATTCAGACAGGTGCGTTGATAGCATTAGGGCCGATCTTGGCTTTCTTCGCTTAGTCGCACCGGTCCTTGGGGGCGAGTCACAAGGGCAATGGCAATGCTCAGCGATTCCAGCCCGGGAAGCCGATTCCCTCTACACCTGCTGGAGGGGATCGGCTGGGCCGGCCGTCCTTTGCTGCGACTGGCCATGTTTAGGCGGCCACCACACGTGTGGCCAAGTTAACGAAACACGGAACTGGAAACCGAAAGGCCTCCGGCCCTTTCACGCTGCAAAGCAGCCTGGCTGGTGAGCAATCCGACGCGGGAGCGTTGAACACGAGTGTTTAGGATATGTTGGGATTTGTGTCAAGGACTTCAGAGATTGGATTAGGGCCTCCGCTTCCTGTCTCGTGCTGCTTCTTGTGCCGCTGATTGTCCAAGCTTGGCCAAGAGTCAAGAGGGCTGCGAACGCCGATTCGCCATGCATCGCCATGGCTGCGGCGGCTACGGACGGAACGCCCGAGATGCCAGAGATCGAGGTGAGGGTCGAGGAGCCCCGCGTGAAAGTTCCAGAGGCCGAGGCCGAGGCTCTGCTCTCGGCCAGCGTGGCTCTCACAGGAGATCCGGGGTAGGAGTTGAGCTGGAGTTCAGCTGGAGTTCAGCTGGGAGTTAGACATAGGTCGCATTGTAAGGACCAAAGCGACAGCATTTCTAGACTGCCTAGGCGAGCAGATCGCCCAGCTGGGTGTGCGGTGCAGCGAGACTGTGGCCAACATCAGCCGGCGCATTGCGCACACGGCAGGCGGAACTTTGCCCACTCAGCATTGCGAGTTACCCGCAGGGCAGTGGAGCCAAGGGCTGACCTTGACCGTGAGTGTTCGCAGTGGCTGACAGCAAACGCATGCCACGAGAGCAGAGGACGACGCAAATACAAAGCCTATAGTTGGCTCGCCAGGCCAGGTCGTCGAATTCAGACTCGTCCACGAGGCAGCTGCCGGAAAATAGGGAGAATGTGAGAGAGCGAGTGTGCGGATGCTGTGTTTGTCTTTGAGAGTTTTCAGAAGGGAGCGGTTCTTAGTGATTTGGTGCACCGCATATCCGTATGTCTGAAGGGAGAAGTGCTTCCGGGCGAGAAGACCCTGGCAGCCGCACCTCGGAAGAGCCAAGAGAACTGTTCTCAGCGTGCAAGTGGAACTGCAAAGAATTGCAAACTGCTTGCGTAACTGCTTGCAAGCCTCACTAAGCTAGTACTAAGCTTCACAGGTTCTCCATCTTAGATTTCTGGTTTCGGAAGTGCAGAGGCAGGCTTTCCCTTCGCTCCGGGCATTGCGGAGCCCGGGGAGTCCGAGGGTCATGACGGTCATGATGGTCATGCCGGCGGTGACGACGGAGACAAAATGCCTAGGATGCGCAGCCGTGAGAACCCTACGACGAGCGTCCTCGTCGTCAAGGGAGACTTGCTGGTCGCCACGGCTTCGCACGACGGGTCCGCAAAAGTCTTTCAAGCGGATACCTGCCGATGCGACTCGTCAATGGCAGAAAAGCCCCAAGCTGCCGTTGAGCAGAATTTAGTGAAGTTGAAGGCCATTGAAGGCCTAAGAATTAGGGTTACATCATGGGGTAAGAGAGGCGCTTATGAAGACGTGTTTGAACAGACGCAGAGGCCTTCAGACCTTCCTCCACGAGGACTCCGTGTCCTCCGCGGTCTTTTCCAGCTCGGCCCTGCAGGAGCGAGTCCTTTTGCTTCTTCCTGCTTGTGCGCTTGCTCTTGGATGCTTTGCTGGCTTTGCTGGCTTTGCTGGCTTTGCTGGCTTTGCTGGCTTTGCTGGCTTGCATGGTGTAATGCATTGGAGGCCGAGGCGCTTCTTCTGGTGTCGGTCTGCAGGTCCAAGTTTGGTCCCTTTGCCTTTTTTGCCAGGTTCTCACAACCTCAGGCTGGGTGCCGCGAATTTGGAGCTTAACCACAGGAGAGCTCGAGGCCGAGCCGCGCCCAGCGCCATCCGTGTTGATCTTGACGATGCATTTGAACACACTTTGAACTTCTTTGAAGTGTGTCAACCTCCTGCACTATTTGCCCTTGCCAGGTATCTCTCAACGGGCATACCGGTGCGGTGGCGTCGCTCAGCAGAGCTTGGATAGTTGATGGTGTAGTCATGTGCACTAATTTAGAGGGGAGTCTTCGGAGTCTGGGTCTAGGTCTCTGTCCGTTATGATTTTTGCGGTTCGGTGAAGCTGGGCTTGGCTTTAGAGTGTTAAGTGTTGTAGTGGAGGCCGGTCGGCAGCGAGCGGTCTCGAACTTCGGGAAAGTTGCCAAGACTCAAAGTTGTCACCAGCCCTGACTCCAGTGCATATCTTGCGCGGCATCCCTACGACATGGGGGGTACGCTTTTCGCGGAGGTGCCATTTGGGGGCAGAGGCTTGAGGTCGCCAAGGGTGCAAAGATGGATGCGCTGGACAGCTTGCCTAATGACCTAATGCTGAGCCTGGAGGTTCACCAACTTCGCCCGCCCCCTCACTTCTGCTTGATACTGCCGACGTACGCCCCTGACCCCGAAGAATCCATGAAGCAGGCCCGAGCAGTTTGAACAGCAGCCTGCTAGTACAGCAACTCGACACCATCTTCTCTAACGACTCTCTCTCTCCGATCCAGACACTGTTTTCACCAGAGTTCGACGCGTATTCAGTCGTAGTTTGACTGGATTCACCGTCGAAACAATCGGCCTACCCTTCCCTGAACATGATAACAAGCTTCATCCACGGCATCTGAAGCCAAAATCAGGTGAGCATCATGAGCATCAGAGACTTACGTATGGCCCGGCCGAACTTTCGTGCCGCGCAGCGGACGGAGTTGAGAAAAAGGGCGGAGCATAGGCCAAGGCCGACGGGGCAACCCGAGAAGAGGACCTTGACGGACCGCATATGACCGCATACAACCCAAACAGTGGCGACGGGGTACGTTGGGCACCATCCAAAGCCCAACAGCGAGGGTTCTGCATTTCACGCTCGAGGTTGAAGCGGAGACGCGATTGAAATGCAAACCCCTTTAACCTGGACGTGAAGGGCAGCCATCCAAAAGTCCGAGAGGCAGCAAGTTTCAAAATGAAAAGCCTCCACCTCCGAGTTTTCTCGTTCGGAGATATTGGCTAGGTCTGGCCAGTTCTCGCCGGACGACCGCTTGGTAGTGACCACCAGCCATGACAACACCGGCCGCATCTGGTGTGCGCAAACGGGTGCAGCTTGCCTAAAACGGTATGCATGGGTTGGTAGTTGGGTGGTGTTCCAGGCGGCGCCTGAGAGACGGCATTTTCAAAGGCATGCCAGCGAATCCTGGCTGGCTACGAGCTGGCTTCAGCCGTCTTCACGCCGGATGGAGGGCGGGTGCGGGCACCCGAAGTTCGTTTTTTCCCTTGCAGGGGCTTTGCAGTTTTGTGCAGATCTATGTGCATCTTATATCTGCAGCTTACGTCTCTGTTTTTTTTCCGAGGTGCTGGCGGCTTGTTCCTGGGAGGACTGTGCCCTGCTCTGGCAGGTGCAAACTGGGGAGCTGCTACGGAGCTTTCAGCCGCACAGCGCAGCCGCTCGAAAGAACAAGTATCGAGAACATGGAAGGGCGCATAAAAGGAAGAATGTGTGCAAAGCCAGTCTTCCGGCGTAGCAAGAGCTGCAAGTTGACCTTGCGACTATCATACATCATAGGTGCTCGTTGTTTTTATCGTTCGGCCCTCGCCTCTTCTTTTGACTCTTTGCATCGCCTGAGCCTCAAACCTTGCGGGTGCACGCTTGGACGCGGAGGCAGGGATTGCGGGTCATTAAGTCTTCAACCACTTTGGTACCCAGTTGTTTTTTCATTACACACGTGGGTTTTTTCGTTATGTGCACTGGGCTCACTGCCGCCTCCTGTCTGTCTGTCTGTCTGTCTGTCTGTCTGTCTGTCTGTCTGTCTGTCTGTCTGTCTGTCTGTCTGTCTGTCTGTCTGTCTGTCTGTCTGCAACTCTGTCTGCTCTGTCTGCCTGTGTGTCTTTCTCTGCGTGCGTGTGTGGTCTGAGATGGTCTGAGATGGTCTGTGTCTATCTGCCCGTCTACCGTCTAACTGTCGGGCTCTTTGTCTCATGTCGTTGTCTTTGGTGTCCTCTAGGCGGTGCTCTCGGCTGCAATCTCCCCAGACGGCCAAACGGTGGCGACAGCCTCATGGAATGGCGAACTGCACCTTTGGTGGGTCCCATGCTTAGAAAATCTTGGCAGTGCCGTGTCCTTGCATAGACGTCGAGGCACTCGGTTCAAAGACATTTAAAGATGCGCCAAGGCCGACTCGGGCTGTTGCCGTGCCTGTCTCGCAAGCGCTGATCAGAAATCCAAGGTGTGAGGGGGGCTTGGAACCGTGGCACGAGGTGAGTTTTCATGTTTCCAGGTGCACGTGGTTTTCTCACCAGATGGCAGTCGCCTCGTCACGGCCAGCAACTTCGCTGCGCCACAGCTGCTGGTTTGTGCGAGGAGTGACATACAATCCACGGAGTAGCGGAGTGAGTACGTGCCCGGCGTGCAGTCCGGCAGGCATCCACCATGTGGCACAAGTCTGGGACCTTGAATCGCCAAGCCCGCGGCTGGAGCTGCGCCATGGCAACTCTGTGACTTCTGTTGGCTTCTCACCAGATTGTGCCTGGATCGTGAGCAGCTCCTACGACGGTGCGGGGGTCGCAAGGGGCAAAGAGTGTGATGTCTAGAGGGCCAAAAGTCTGCGTCTATGTGACGTGCTGTTTTGTGTCTTTTGGTAGGCATGAGTGAGCAACAAGAATGCAGAGTTTCACTCTGGTGGCCCAAAGCTAACAAGGGCAGCATCAAGGCAATCAACATCAACTTGTCTGAGTGACGTTGAGAGTTGAGGATGGCTGAGGACTTGATTTGTAGGACAGGTGTAGAGTTCCCCTGTGAGGAACTGCCAAGATCTGGAACTCGGTTTCTGGGGAGTTGCTTCGCACGCTCGAGGGCCACACTGACGCGCTGCGAAGCGCCTGCTTTGCTCCCAAGTTGTGTGGCGCCACTGGCAGTGCGGCGTCCTGCTGTCTTCCTGCAAGCCAAAGTGGGGCTGTGGAGGAGCCAGCGCATAGCCAAGACCACATTGGAACAAATGTCACAATTGCTGTTTAGTTATGTTTGCTGTGGAGTAAACTCGAGACACGCACGTGCAGTGTCTGTGCCGTTGAATTTCGGCTCGAGACGCGTCAGCGGCGCTTCGCTGACGTGTGTGCTGCGCCGCAGGCCAATGCCGGTGTACTCTCACTCTCACTCTCCCTCTCCCGTCTCCGTCTACGTCTCCGTCTCCGTCTCCGTCTCTGTCTCTGTCTCTCTCGCGCTCTCTCTCTCCCTGCCTCTCCCGCCCCCATCCGCTCTCGTCCGCTCCCCCTCCCCTTCCCTTCCTTGATCCATCTTGATCCCTTTTTCACAGCATTCACAGCCTTCAGGTGCTCGGGCGGCATGGGTCAGTCTGCGCCTTTGTAAGGTGAAACAGCGAGCACGGCACCTGAGTGAATGTTTTCGTTGCAAGGAAGAACTGCTGCCAATGCGATGAGCACACGGAGCGAGATGAGGCGCCTCCGGTTCTCGGGAGGGTTTCGGGCCACAGTTTACGGTGAAGCTCCCGGTTGAGGGGCGGCTGGGGGCGCAGAGGGAACCGCAGAGGGAACCGCAGAGGAAGCCGCAGAGGAAGCCCGCTGCAAATGTGCATCCAAAGCCAGGCGACCATCGCCAGGAGCCTGCCCGCGATGACGGATGAGGATCCTGAGGAAAACAGCCAGATGCTGGCACCCCAGAGCCGCAGGGCAGTCGGCAAAACAGTCAGTTGAGTGCCTCAGTCATCCTCAGTCATCCTCAGTCCTTGGTAAGGAAGATCATGGAGGCGCCGGAGGAGCGCGTGGGAAGATTGCAATCCCCCAATCTCCCAATGCTGTGTTAGAATCTGGGTGTTGGAGAATGCTTCCCCGAATTCACGTGATGCACGCGGATGCGGATGCCCAGCACCTCTGGAATGTTCAGCCCCTGCTTGCAATTTGCTGTGCATCGATGCCTCGAGTCGAGAGCATGCTGCACAGCTCCTAGAAAAGCTGAGCCTGTAGTGTAGGTTCTGTAGCATGTCTAGGATGCTGGTTTAGGAATTCGGTTTGCGCTAGTGCACATTCCCGATGACTGCAACTGCAACTGCAGCCCACGCGTCGACAGCGTGGTCTTCTGATGTCAGAAGCGAGATCCGACAACTGAATGTTCAAGGCAGAGTTCAGCTCTCCCGCACGGAGAATGCTCAGAAGCGAAAGCCTGAAAGCAAAGCACAAGTTCTGTCTCCCTGTGCACTCAAGGAGCCCTCGCTCAAGGAGTCGAGTTATTTCGACAGAGAGAAGGAGCAGCTGTCTGAGATGAAGGCGCAAACCAATCAAAGGAAGACTCTCGGCATGGGCACCTCTCGCAGGCAAGCGCTGCGGTGAAGGATGGCGAGCCATTTAAGCTTCCTAGCGAAGATCAGAGAGAAGCATGAAGAAACGTGAAGACACGTGGAGCATCTGGAGACAGGCGCATTTTGCTCGGTGTGCTGCAAGACTAAGGTTTCGCTCAGGAGCCGTCTACAAGGACCGGTTCGGCCGTTCCTTCACTCTGCACAGGGCTATTTTGCGAGCACGCGAGCCCTGCTCTGACAGGGCCAGTGGAAGAATGGCATGCGCGAGGGCATTGGAAAGCAGACCTGGCCTGACGGAGCAAGCTTCTTTGGCCAGTCGGGGCGCCTGAACACGTGTGGGCTCTCTGAAGACGCCTTGTAGACTCAATGAGCAGACCTTGTGGGGAGTCCTCTAGAGGTGGGTGGCCAACAAAGCGCAGGGAAATGGCCGCTTCCTCCACAGCCGCTTCGGCAGAGACTCTCAACCCGACAGCCTCGGCCCTCGAAAGCCATAGAAAGGTACTGAAAGCCATAGAAAGCGTATGCCAGGACTTCAGGGCACGGGGTCAGGACGGATATGTGGGGCTTTTGGGCTTCAGGGCTGTTTCGTTCCTGTTTATACCCTCAGGGCTTCGAAGCCTTATGGGGGACCAGTCCTAGCAGGCCGAGGAATCTCGTGAAAATTTCGCATCTACATGCAAAAGCCTTCAGGGTGAGCTAATGTTAACGGAGAAGGGGATTGTATTCTCCGACCACAACACACACACACACACACAAAATCACCACACAGATCACCAAATACCAACTCTGCATCTCACCTTCTTGGGCCAGGTGACGGCGACATCTACATAGGGCACCGGGCCCTAGCCAACGCCACAGCAATCCACGTACGGGAAGCAGTCCTGGGTTGCGAAGGCAGTGGCAAGACAACATGGCCAGTGGATGTGGGACCCCACTTTGGTGTACACCTGAGTGAGCAGCAAGGAGTGCTTGAACCTGTTTCGGCGAGGAAATACTACCACAAGGGGAGTACCACCTACGAGGGCACTTGGAAGAAGGACATGCAGGCAGGATGATGCTTTCGGTGCTGTGGACTTTGGATCTTGCCTGGCCCCCGGCTTAGGATGGCTTTGGGGTGGAGACGTGGGCAGAAGGTGCACGCTACGAGGCTGTGGTTCCAATTGTTCCAATGATGCGTGTCGAATTCATGGTGCGCTGCATCGCATAACAGCGCCCATTGCATGATCTTTTCGTTGTTCGATTCTTTCCGCCGTTTCTCCCAGGGGAGTTTCAAAGAGGGGCAGAAGGAGGGCTTCGGCTCCGGACTTGGGAGAAGAATGCTGTCACTTTAAGATGTTCTCTTCATCTCTTTCTCTTTCTCTTTCTCTTTCTCTTTCTCTGCATTTGTAAGTGTCTTGTTGTTTGGGTTTCAGTACACTTGCTTTCCAGGCGTGTACTATTGGACCGACGGCTCCAAGTACGAAGGCCGAAGTCCAGTAGACTTATGCTTCTTAAGCTCCAGGCTATCTCAGTTCTTTCTTTGCTTTTCCCTCCTAAGTTGCGTCTCAAGGAGCCTGGCGGGATAACGTCATCGATGGCTCAGGCAGGAAAGAGAGGAGGGCGAGAGTCAGAGAGAAGGAAGGCAGAACGAGGAATGGAGAGGGAGGTGGGAGAGTGTGTGAGTGAGAGAGAGAGAGAGAGAGAGATAGATAGAGCGCTCAATTTTTATGGCAAGTGAGAGTGTGTGTGTGTGTGTGTGCGTGTTTTTTGAGTGTCTTCTCTAAAGGCTTCTTCCATGAGGCTTGCCTTGCCCCTTGAAGTGAGCTCTTCGTTCTTGGAGGCCTCTACGTCGCCTGTGATGGCCGCACCTTCAGAGGGCAGTGGTCGGACCGAGCATTAGAACGAGAGTCGAAAAGTCAGTCGAAGTTGCCTTAAGGTTTTGACCAAGTAATATGGGATTTGCAGTTTGATGCCAAGTAACAGCACTCACAATGAGAAGAAGATGGGAGAAGAGAGATTTCGCAGCAAATTGTGGTGCTGCTTTGCATCCTTTGCTTTATATTTGTGGCAGGACTCGATGATCCATGGTGTTGGGAAGTATGTGGCCAGCCCAGTTCCAGAGTGACAGGAACATAGGTTCCGCCTCTTCTGAAGCACTTCTCTTGTTTCTTGCAGGATTGGCCTGGTGGACGACAGCGCCCCCGAACACAAGAGGGGGGAGAGGAGGGAGCGAGAGCAAGAGAGTGAGCCCTGAAACAAGGGTGGGCAAACATGCCCGCCCCGTAGCCCATGAAAGGCTGCAAGGAATAAACACAGCAAGAGAGAAACAAAGAAAGAAAAAAATATTAAGACTGGGATAGGAGACTGAGGAAACAACATCGCAAGAGAGGGAGAGGTAGAGGGAGTGGGTGAAGGAGAGGCAGAGGGAGAGAATGTGCAAAATCTTCGACAGGTACTCTGGCGAATACCTCAGCGACCAAAAGCATGGATTTGGGGTTTTCTGTTCCGCCCCAAGGATGTCGTGCCGTCAATCTATGGCAGCATGTAGGCATGAGTGGCTTTGGTAACCGAGAGTAGCTTGAGGCTGGCCAGATGGTCGCAAGTACCTTGACTGAATGCGACTGCTATTGCAGACTTGGGCAGTTGCACTCTTCAATCTGCCAGGCGGAATCCCAAAATTATGACACTCCATGGTAGTTGCCTGAATGCTGATGCCTTTGCTGGAAACATGTCCCCCAAGATGCAGAGTTGCTAACTGAGGTACGAGGGCTACTGGAAGGATGGCAAACAACATGGCCTAGGCCAATACACGACAACGGACCGGGAACAGAGAAGTGGAAGAGAGAAACTTCAGAGAAAACAGTCACGGGAGCTCTCAGAGGGCTTTCAGTCTCATATGGATCATACGGCTCTCATATGGCTCTCTGCGCCCGCTTACTCTCTTTGCATGAGACTCTCAGCTGTCTGGAATTGGGCGTCGAGAAAAAAGAACTTCCTTGTTTCAGCATCTTCAAGCGATTGAGAGGACGGTGTCGTCAAGATGGCGCGCTGGGAGAACGGTCGGCGTGTGGAGGCACAAAAGTTGGATACAACCAGCGGTTTTTGAACACCTTTGTTTTTTTGTTGCAAGTGTGCTTTGCTTCCTTAAGATCTTGTGATACGCGTGTGCTGCACTTTGCTCTTTCCCGTGCTGTTTGGACAGTGCGTCGCCAGGTGATGTGAAGCACGTTGAAGCGCACAGTGTCCACGATGTCCACGCCTTAAAGGAGCTCAGGGTTACATCGGAGAGGCATCAGGACTGCAGCCATTGCAGCCGAGGTGACCGGCGAGGTGCAACCAACCTCAGAGTGAGAGACTTGTAGAGATCTCCTAGAGGCAGCTCGGCAAAGCTGAGCTTGCTGATGGCAAGTCCCAGCGTTGCACCAAAAGCCGGAACTTCAGTCGAATGCACTGGAAAATGAGGCGCCTAGAGTACAACTTACAAGGCTGAGCAAGGCTGCACAAGGCTGCAGAAATGTTGCCGCACCATGCGATACAATGCCCCAGAATGCCGGAACAGCTCTCGGCTCACAGAAGCTGTGTGGAACGGCCGGGATGGGTTTCCCAGGCCAGTGGGAGTCCCCGACAGTTGCTTGGGCCACAGGAAGTCACCTTGGAACACCTTGAAACGGTACTGGCATTGACCATTGCTCTGAGGAGATTTCTGATGATGAAAGTACCGTTTCGCTCCTGTCTCAGACAAGTTGTGGTAGGAAAGCTCTCATGCGTGGAGCCTCCGACAGAGACGCCTGCCAGGCTCACTCAACTCTTGGAAGAATGGATGGATCAAGAAGTCGAATCCATGGAAAGGGCGCAGCAGGTTCTGGATGCCATGTCGAGCTTAGGCCCAGGTAGGCTGTCTCATGGCCGGACGAGGATGATGCACCTGGAGGTCAGTATAGACAATGGTGCCGACTGTCCTGGCGATTGTCGTGCCGACGGTCCTGCTGACAGTCCTGCCAGCGCAGCAGGTGGGTGTGAGCCAAGACATGGGCAAAACAGTGCCCTGATAATGCCTCTTGGCAGGCGGTGGTGAGGAACCGGCTCGGAAGCCGGAGACGCCTGAGGTTTGGTGCCCAAGTGAAGCATGTCAAGCTGTTGCTGTCTTTTTGTGCTTTGGTGTCTGGGTCTCCTTTAAGGCCTCTTCTCACCGATTGAATTTCAGGATCTGGTTTCCATGCCCTGGGAAGCTTTGTGGCTGAAGCTGGAGGCCCAAGGACGCGACAGTATCATGGAGAGCATCATCCCCCGGTCCAGCATCTGTTGGTAGCTGCTTACTGGAAGGTGTTTAGGGCTTTGCCCCTGCACCAAGCTGTTGCTTGGCATGGCCCGAAGGATGGCGGATCGAACATGGTCCACGGGGGAAGGGACGACAGGCGGGCGGCTGCGTATTTCATCAAGAGCGTCTCACTTGGTAACTTCGTATCATCTCCATCACTTGACTCTCTGAGCCTCTAACAGCTCCTGGGATCGGGCCAGCGAGGGTTCGTACCATGTACCTCGATTCGCAGCCCTCGTTCTTGAGTCACGTTTGGCTTGTGAGGAGGAACAGCGATATGCAAGCTAAGTGTGCAACACTTCGAGTATTCCCGCACTCCACCTGATCCCATGGAGGCTTACTACTTGCCTCCTGGTGTACAGCGTGGTCCAGGTCCTTGAGCTGTTATGACTTGTTCCTTAGTTTCAAGAGGGATGCTCGTAGTTTGGTGGTATGACATAAATGCTCTGCGCACTGTGCTTGTGGATATTGGTTGGGCAGGGAATGCCAAATTTTTTAGATTAGGTGGCTGGACTGGCCAGCTTTGGGAACTCACTGTTTGTGCTGGAACAATTGTACACACCGCCATCCGCTCACAAGTAAATTCAGGGCATATGCAGGCAAAAAGAACCGAGTGGACTACTTCGATTCCAAGAAGCTCGTGCTGCAGCTTCTTTCTTGCGGCAAGGATGGAGGAGGCCACGGCTTTCTGGTTTGAAGAAGCGAAAGGTGTCCTGCCAGTCTCATCTCTGTAGTCCCCTCAGCCACTTGATTGTGTGCCGCAGCGCTGATGGCCGCAGTGGGAGTAAATCCGAGGTCTCGTGATGTCTCGTGCTAATGAGATCCCCCATCTATCCAAGTTGGGACTGCAAATCAAGAAAGAGCATTTTATCGTCCGAGCGGTGGGGGTTACCTGAACTGTGACGCTAGCCGCTATCCCTCTTTCACACACACAGGCTGCTTGCCAGCCTAGCTTGGTGTACCTCTTGAACTCCCCATGAGAGCACAAGCTCGGGAAGCGCAGCTGAAGCATATGTACATATATCTGTATCGTGGAAATGCGTGGAACTGAGCAGAGCCTTCGGCTCATCGACAGGCCCAAATCGGTGCACGTGCATGTGCGGTGGCAAGTCGCCCACGACAGGTCCCTCTGAGTCTCTGTCAGCACCACACACTGCCATACACGGCCATACACGGCCATACACGGCCATACGCTGTAGGCTTGACTGGGTGATTTGAACCGCACGGTGTCACAGTCTGGAATTCAATTCGGCATCACCCGGTGCGCACCTCTGCTGCTGTTAACAGCTGCGGATGTGTCGGATGAACCTCCTCGAGAATGATGACCATGATGGCCCACTGATGGCGTGTCGGAGTTTCTGCTGGAGCCCCATACGAGCGGCAAAAGCGTGCATGCGTGCATCAGATCGTTGCAGGCAAGCCATGATTACTGGAATCGGAGGCTGTTGATGTTTGTGGGACCTTAGGCGGGGTCATCTATGCCAGTACAAGGACCAGGGAGCTAAGCCGCTAAGCGGGGAAAGAGGAAGCCTCCACGGACACCAAAGCACAGAAAATGCTTCAAGGTTTCATCAGTCCCTGATGTGCAAAGACGGGTTGTCCCGAAGGCGCATCGGAGGCCCGTAGAGCCAGATGCGAACTGCAACGTGTTTTCAATGTATGTGTTAGCTGATCTGACAGACGGTGCGTGTCTTTGCGCTTGTCGGCTTGTCTGTATCTGTTGTGGTCATATCCATGCTGGAAGATATATCCCTGAGGCATCCATGAAAAGGCTGCGCAACCCCATCTCCTATCCCAACTCCAGCCAGCAACGTAACTTTTGGGTGGCACAATGAGCAGGTTTCAGAGCAACATTGAGAGCAGTTTTCTGTAGCTTGCAAATGCGGTGGCGCCCCAGCTACGTATCTGTCAAACATGGAGTGTTAGTTTGCGGGTGTCGCACTTTCAGCTGTTAGCAAAGTTCGTTGGCAGCTGAGGGCTTGGAGGTGCTCAGCAAAGCTCTTGACATTACACGTCACCAAGGTTTTTGTGCATCCTTCAGCTGTTTGCATAAAGAGCAGTCGATTTTGCATGTCTCCACTCCAAGCCACCAAAGTAACTCCACAAACATCACCTGTGTGATTTCCATATCTGTGAGCCATGCCGAACAAGAAGACGCAGCCCCTGCCTGTAACGGGGTTTTTGCCTGCAGGATGCCCCCGTATACGGGATGCCCGTATATGGGGATCGCCCGCTTGCGATCAATACCGGATAACGGCGAGCAAGTCCGTTTGCCAGGAAGAAGGGCAAAGACCGCCTTGACAAGTCAAGGGCTGAGAAGTGCGCAACACGTGCTCAAAAAGTGCGAGGCACAAACGTGCAGCACAGTGCCACTTGGAGGTTGAGGGTTGTTTTGCCTTTATGTTGCTGTTGTTTTCAGGTTCTATCACCTGGCGAAGGACCAAGGCTATCGGGCGCGATCCGCCTTCAAGCTGATCCAGCTTGCTGGGACCCCTGGCATGCCGTGGTGGTTCTCGGCCGTTCTTCAGTTGCCAGCGCCGAGATCATGATATGCCTATTGCCTACTGTGTAGGCAAAGAAGTTCGACTTCTTGTCGAAGTCCAGAGCCTCGACCTCATCTTGAGCGGATGAGAGCGGATGCTGGTAAGGATTTTTGTGCATCGGGAGCAGCTGACAGGAGAATGAAGTTCTGAAGCCTGTTCCTTTTGCATGTTTAGGTCTGCCTGGACCTATGCGCAGCTCCTGGTGGCTGGTCGCAGGTCGCGCAGCGGAACATGCCCGCTGGGCGCCCAGATGTGGATGTCCTCAATAAAGGCCTTGCCAGGAGAGAAGTTTCTGTAGAAACGCCTTTCATAGAGGAATAAGGATGCCAGGGCCTGGAAGAATCTCCTTTATGTGGAATGCCACTGCATCCACAGTGAATCCGCAAGCGGCACCTCCGCTTGCGCAGCCCTGAGGTAGGGTCCCAGATCATCGCCATCGACTTGGTGCGGACCCCCGTCTCGCATTCGCATGGCGGAGTCTCGGCACTTGTGTGGCGAGGCTCCTATCAAGCCAATGCCTGGCGTGACTTGCATACAATCGGACATCACCACAGAGAAGCTCGGGTCTCAAGCATCGCACAGCTCCCAAACGCGATGGCAGCATCGCACCCGGCACTCTGGGAGGTGCCGCAGCCTGATCCGGAAGGAGCTCCAGGGTGGCCGTGCCGATGTGGTTTTGCACGACGGCGCGCCGAACGTGGGCAGCGGACTCAGTGGACTCAGTGGTCTCAGTGGACTCAGTGGTTTTGACACATGCTGACACCGTCTGGAGCAGTGCTCCGAGTGCTAAGCTGCCAGGCAGCTCTTGGTCGAAAGATGCTTTCAGCCAAGCGGAGCCGCCTGGCTGAAACCACAGGGGCAAGGGGCAGAACCGTTGAACCGTTGAGATCTCGTGCCCTTCGAAGGCTTACTTTGCATTCGCTGCGCCTGGCATGCCACGGCCCCGCTTTGCCAGCTGGCATTTTTGGATGCCTTTCCCTTTCCTGCTCCAAGGTGACTTCATGAAAGCCGGCGGAACCTTTGTGACGAAGGCTTCGACCACATCTGCCCAGTGTGTCACTGTGTTCTTTGCCAACTAGTGTCAGCCGCGTCGGTGACCATCGGAAGCAGAAGCCGAGGGCCGAAGTCACTTCCTTTACGTTCGTCACTTCAAGTAATAGTAGTGTGATGAGGCCCGACAACCCTCCAGTTACGCAACTCTCCAGTTACGCCACGCTACGCAACTGGTGCGGCTTGATGCGGCTTGATGCGGCTTTGAAGCTCGCAGAGCCGGGATGTTTAAGCAAAAGCTGCCGTCGAGATGTTAATCAACCAAAATCGAAAAAGCACAGTTGGCAGATGACAGGCCGATGCCACGTGACAGAACCAGGAGCTGAACGACAGTTGCGTGAAGAATCTGTAAGTATGCAGCTGGACTAGCTGCGGTCCTTCTTTCCTCACGCATGGTAGGTGTTTTGCACAGGTTTGTGGGACCTGATTGCGATGACTGGGCCGCCGCTGGAGATTGAAACTACGCGGGGTCGGGGGCGTGGGGGCGGGGGGAGGAGCCGGGGGGGGGGTTCGCTCCACTAAAAGCGCTGCACACACATAACATGTGCGAGAATGCGTCACACAGCAGCTCCTGGGACAGAATAGCGGATTCTTGCCACTCTTTCCTAGCCCTTCTTTGACTACTTAGCCTCATAGTGTCTTCTGAGACTTCTAAGTAGTCACAGAGTTTGCAGCGCACAGCGCAGGTCTTTCGGTCGTCCGACTACAATTCCTTGCTTTGGGTGTTCAACCAGCTCTTCAACAAGGCACATGAAGTGCAGTGCCGCTAGCTCCTCTCGCAGTCAGTCGGTCCCTAGCAGGTAGATGCCACGAAGCCGACAGCGTCACGAAACGTCTCAGCAGAGATCTTCGTGCTCTGCATCGGCCTGCGGCTCAGATGCCCTTGAGGCCCTTGAGGCCCTTGAGGCCCTTGAGGCCCTTGAGGCCCTTGAGGCCCTTGAGGACCCTTGCACTTCCGAAAACTCTTGGCGGACATGGGTTGTTTTGGCGATGATCGGCGGCGCATCTTCCCCCAGGCTTTAAAGCCGGGAAAATCGATCCGCGCTTCTTCGACACGAAGCCGGCCTCTCGTTTTCTTCTTCTTTGCCTTGCAAAAATTTTAGGTTTGAAGATGCAGCGGGATGCAGAGTGGAGTTTGTGTCCGAGGTGGGTGTTCATGGAGAACCTTGAGCCACTTCCCAAGGATGAAGGCTGAGCTGAGAGCCCGGTCCTTGAAAACGCCTTGCAGTTGGGAAGTTTCAGGAGTCAAGAAGCCTGGGGCCTCCTTGACGGAGTACTTCAAGCAACTGAAGAAGCCCCAGCCTCAGAGTACCCGCATGGCCTCGTGAGGTCTCCGCAACCTTCTCCTACGGATTCACACTGTGCCACGGCGCATGTATACTCTCCTGCAGGAAGCATCGGGGTGGTTATGAGGAGGCGTGAGTCGTGTGGGGGCCATCCGATTCTCTGCTGGACGCACCGTGCCGCGCAAAGGGCGACGACAATCGCGTGGTCCCAGCTCACGACTTCATTGCAGCCGAAAACCCGGCCCCGACCACAGAAAAACTTATTGACAGCGGTGCTCGGGCTTTGCTTCTTCTTGCTCGTTCCTTCTTGTCCCGTGCTGAGCAAAGGCAGAGATCCTGATCAAAGCCCATAAGCTCAACCTCGAGGACGGCGGTGAACGCCGTGACAGAGAATCGGGGACAAAGCGTCAGAGACATGCCTGGCTTGTTGCGAGGCTGCTGGCTCGGAGCCCCTCCGAAGCCACCCGCCCACGGGCCCAGATGTGCGGAGATGTGCGCGGAGATGGGCTGAGATAGTGCTGAGATGCTGTCAAGGGCAGGTGGAATTCTTGGCCTGTTCTGTGGAGGCTAACCACCCAAGACATCCGTGACTTCTGCGATGACCTCAAGGCCCTCCCTAAAAAGAGATCGAGAAGCAACTTCTGAAGCCGTATGAAGCAGAATGAAAGAAGTGTTGAATCGACGCGCTTTTGAAGGGAGGGCAAAGTGATGCCCCTCTCAGAGATCTCCACTTAGAGAGGTGCTGGGCAAAGCGGACCTCGCACAGCTCTTGAAGTGGCGGGCCAAGCTCCTCCGAGAGCCGGGGACCCAGCGGGGTTCTGGCACGTGTGCTCTGGACTCACTCTCTCTCTCT